CAACAGTTGTATTTAAAAGGTTACAAAGCACCTCTTTAAAGATTAAAAGATGTATTTTGCAAAATTCTTACTCTATCCATTGACCCATAGAGATGGAAGAAACTCAGTAGTTGCATTGCATCCCCCACTGGCAGTACTCTTGCAGTCTATTTTCCCATTGGCTTAATGATGATTTTGGGGGTGTTTGGTTGGTTGAGGATTTTGTTTGTTGTTTTGTTGTTTGGGGCGGTGGAGAGGGATGTTACAGCTAAAGTCTGGCTAGAAACTAACAGTCTTTTGCTCTTTCACCGAAGAGCATTGAGTTTTCTTCCAGGATCTTTGTCTCACTTCTGTTGCTCCTTTCCGACAGCTACCCTCTAGAGTTGTCTTTTGCCCCTTGAATTGCAAATACTGAAGCCTTTCACTAGGACAATACTGTATCTCCCAACCCTATTAGGATATATCAGTCTTCTCTGCATGTCTTGCCTTGCAGTCAAAAGCTGTTTTGCTTGATCTTGTTTAGAGGTACACAGATTTTTTTTTTTTTTTTTTTTTCCAAAACAGAGCATTGTTCCAAAGTGTTTGTCTGTTTTACCAAAACATCTCACTGGAAAGATTCCTTCCCTCCAGTCAGGGAGTTGGGAAGTCTAGGAGCTCTTACCCTAGTCAGGGCTCTCAGGATTTCCAGAGTCCCTTCTGCACAGGTAGTATTTGGAGTGCTGCATCGTGCAGGAGGCCATGAGGCTGTGTGGCCATGGATAGTCCTCCTGGGGGGGCTGGGAGCCCTGTGGCTGGCTGTGGAGCCACTGCCTGAACACAGAGTTTTGTCCTGAGTCTGTGTTGGAAAGGCTTAAGGAGAATTCCTTTCTTTTTACTGGTTCTGAGGGCACAAAGTTCTCATCACCTCTAGAGGTGATTTATCAATGTAATAAATCTCTCTGATGTGTATTAGGCATATATTCTTTTAGCAGTCTCCTTTCATAAACCATATATATAGCTGTGACTTCAACTCCCAGTTGGGTACTAGATACAAACAGAATGAGGACCTGAATATTTTTCTTCCTCTTCTTTGTCCTCTGTATTCACATTTTTGCACTGAATCAAGTAACTTCTGTTAAGCAGTCTCTGTAACAGTTCACTGAACAAAACTCTAAGTATATTTACTTAATTCTTCATAAGAAAACATGTTGATGTCTGTGCAAATTTAAATATATATTTGAAAATCTGCAGCACATATTCTAGGAATATTAATTCTCTTCTAGCATTCCAATTTCACATATGAAAGACAATTGCATGGAGATTCTGGACATTTACCAGAGCACAACATTAATTCTAAATGTAACTGGACTAATTGTGGAGGGAAATGAATAAAATATACAGATACAGTATTGTTGCATGACTAATTGGATTGTGTGGGTTTAATCTAGTTTCATCAAAAAGCCCATTGATACACAAGTCCTGCAATAAGAGATTTGTAGTTTCCAATAGATGTAGCATGTTCACAGGTATAACAGTCTTTAATGGCACCACTTTCTTCCATTGTGTTCACTGCAATGCTGAAAAGAACAAAGTACTCGAAATGAATCACTGTAATTATTGTGGTCAATGCATTACCTCTTTAGATTCGTGTTCAGAAGCTACCTTGCTGAAAACTCCTACAGGAAATGCTAATACATATTTTTGAGCTTATGATCAGAGCTAAGATAAAGCTGTTTCACTGAAAATTGCATGGAAAGCCTCCCAGTGAAATGCTAATGCCAGGTTCATCTCTCATAAGCAAGACATCAGTTAGCTTTTTGGTGAAATTATTTCACCCACGTTCAAATGCATATTAAAGTTGCAAATCCATGACAAAATGTTTAAAGACTGTTTCAAAAAATACAGTGGTTTGGTTAGATTGCTTTTGGCTGTGGTTTCCAAGCATCCAGGTTTGAACACAGGCCAGTATGGACCCATCTAGCGTAATGATTATATAGGGGACCTTGCAAGGAGTCTGACTCTCTAAGAAGTAGTTGATGAGACACCATAATATTGTGATCTCTGCAGCCCACACCCAACTGACATAGTGAAAGCATACTACACCTTCTTTCAACACTCTGATTTCTATCTCAAGCCAAGTTCCAGGAGAAAAGGTGTCCTTGAGCATATCTCTGGCACCCTGAGGTGAGTGGGTCTGGATACCTGGGGCTATAGGTTCAGCTGATCTCAGGTGCCTTCCTTGTTTGTGTCTTAAGGCTTTACCTTTTTCTTTCAGTTTGCCCAAATTTCTTGTTCACTCAGTTGTGGAGTGTGTTCTTCACAGTGGTATGGCTCTTGGCAGGTGTTTGCACCCCTTGCTCTGCATCCTAGGAATGTCAAGTCTCTGCTCTTCCAGGCATATAATATACAGCAATGACCTCTCTTCTTTCAGTTTCTGACACACCTGTTGCTTTTCAGGCTCTTTGGTTCCTTTGTATAATTCCTCTTAACTCATCCCCCTACAGAAAATTACTTCCTCTGGTTTGTGATGTTATGCATATGGTTATCTATGTCACAGGAAAGTTTGGAGAGCTGTCAGTGCCACCTTTCCCATTTCTTTACGGATCATTTAAAAGAGCTCAGAAGAGATGCTAATTTTTTTCTTTTTTTTTTTTTTCTAAACTTTGCAAAATACAAATTTTACTGTCACTATTTTTCAAATTAGATGGAAGAGCTTTTGTGGCAAGTGTGACTAATAATAAATTTTAGTAATGATTAATTTGTATCTAGAAATTACATTTGAATTTCAAGGAACCTTTTTCCAGGATAGTGCCCATGAATTTTTTATTTCTGTAATATTTGTGCTTTCTGATCTTTTCCTGGCCTTTTGTATCTTTTTTGTTGTTGGGGTTTTTTTTCCCTCTGGCTTTTTTCCTCCCTTGTACATTGTGTGTTTTCCCAAATAGATCTCGAACAGCATTTTTTATTATACTGACAGGAACAGCAGCACCTCTGTAAACTGTCCTACAGCAAAGGCATGACAGAATAAATGATCATAAATAAATCATCTTACGTGAGTTCTGTGCTTCCAGTTCTTCAGTTCCTCTCTCCAAGGGGCAAGTCCCCTGGCAAAACTCTGCCCCATGTGGCATTTGAGACCTAAAACAGATGCTGACAGAACATATGTGATTACCATATCTTAGGATTTAAACCCAAAACTGAAGCATGTGATAGAATAGGCACTGGAAGCCATCAAGGATTGATGGACCACATGTTGCTTGAATTTTGTTTAGTTTTGCATGTTTTCCTGCTTATTCTGCATGTTCGAAAGGTCTATTGGGAGAGGTCACTTTTTTAGTCACTGTATTCATATACTGCTTGTAGAAAGTCACTAAGCTGCTGTTCGGATGCCTCTGTACATTTTTTGGTGTAATTTAAACTGTCAGTTTGTGGGACAGAAATTTCGGTTGAATCCTTTGCTGACATTGTAGATATGTTCTCACAGAAAGTCACATTAGCTGATGATGTAGAGTGATGCCTACAAGCATATATGGCTGTTTGCTGCATCATGTTGGCTTTCTTTTATGCACATGATCTCTGCATCTAAAACATCTGGAATGGATGGATATCTCATACAGTGTGTCATCTGCATGTCCCATTACATGTTTACAAGTTCCTATCTCATACTACTTATAGCACAGCTTCTGGTGCATGTTAAGTGTAGTCTTGTTGAGCACAAGCGGCTACATAACAATACATTTCTGTAAAGCACTTTAGATATGTACTTGCAACTGTCCAAGAGTAAAGGTAGTTCAAAAGATAAGCATATAGATCAAGCAGGGACATGCAAGTAGAGGACCCTGTGCATGGATAAGTCTTTGGTGGTTTTTTTATCTCAATTTACGTATATTTTGGAAGTCGGGATTATCTCAGAGGTTTCTGGAAGGAAGTGTGTCTATTAATATGTTTTTGTTGTTCACACTAACTTGTTAAAATGCTTAAAATGGAGAAAGGACTTACATAGTACACATGTACATGGATGTCACCTACAAAGCTAAGTGGTGAGGTAAATAATACTGACATACATAAGGACCTAGAGGAGAAATTTGTAGCAGCAGAATACTGAACACCTGACTAATATTACCAGGTTTTACAGTTCTTCAAACAATGGTGAAATAATCCTGTAAGTAGATGTATGTCTAACGTGTAATTTTAACTGAAATATGTGGCCAATCAGCAAATGCAATCCACGTTTTATTCTATAAAAACAGAAGTATTTCTATTGAAATATGCTACTGTAATGAGGGAAGCCAAAGATCATAAATTCAGACTTTCAGCTACTAGACAGCTACTCCCCAGGGGCTATTGTCAGGCCAGCAATATGGCAGTGCTGCATAAAACAGTCCTTTGCCTAAGTGGAAGGAAACACGAGTGACAAATGTGATATTCATCTGAGCTTGTTATTACAGAGATCAGAGTCTTTGGCTGATGGGAGAAACAGACCTTGCCAGAAGTGCCAGCAGTCTAGTAAGGGAATGTATTAAATAAGCCTCAATAAAAAGTACGCTCACAGAGAAGCAAATGTTTTGCCTTTTTTATTGTTGAAATAAGGTGGATAATTATAAAAAAAACCCCACTTGTTTAATCTCTTTAGAGCCACCTTTCCAACTGTTAGGGTCTAAAAGTATTTTGGTGTATTTCAGAATGTTCAGCATTTCAAACATTTTAGTAGAAACAATCATTATTGATAAACAGCTCATCACAGTGTACTCTGGAAGCAGTTGTGTGGATTCACTGCTCTGTTACTTGCTTGCCATCAGCGAGAGGACGTAAAACAGGAGATGCAGTGGTGTGTGAGAGAGAAGTGTCAGTTCTCCAAAGTATGATTTTGACGATCTCATTTTCCTGGCTCAGAAGCCCCTCCCTACACCTGAGCAGAGAGCCGTAGAGCAGTCACTGCTAGTCATTGAGGTGTGCAACACAGCATGTCCATCTCTGTAAATGAAACAGCCTTTGGCAGAGGCAGTTTACTAAAACCACTGACTTGTTGTACCCCATTTCAGGTGGGATTCCATTTGTTCTCACTGGTGAGTTTTTCCAGCAGTCACAGCGGCCAGCTGCGTTCATGATAGCTGGGACAGTCAACTGGCTCTCCAACTTCGCAGTCGGACTGCTCTTCCCTTTCATTCAGGTACTCACCATCCTCTATATACTGTGAAACAGATGGTATAGTGTGACATATGATGTTTTAATAAAATTTTCAGGTCAGAATAAGTGTGTTTATTGAAGTGGATGAAATTCCCACCATGCTTGTGGTACAGCTCAGTTGTGCTACTCATGTCTCCTTGTTTGAATCATCTCTGAGAAAATTGCCCTCCTATAGAAAAATTGTTGTAACTGTGGACTCCCTATATGGCAAATCCTCCACAGGAGTGATTTAGCAATGCAGTGTGATGGCTGTGTCCAGAGTTCATGGTCACTGATGGTGATTGTCACTGTCTTTTTATTCTGTCTTTAAGCTACCCATCTTCTGTGTTTTGGGAATCCTTACTAGTCTCACTGGGGAGTAGATGCTTTCTGCTTCTCCCTCTGTCTAAGCCTGGCTTCATGGCTAAACTAGTCACATGGAGGACAGAGGCCAGTTTCATCAAGAGCTGTCTGACAACCAGTGTTTTTATTTTAACAAGATATGTTTATTAAAAAAAATTTACAAAAACAGAATTCAAAATTCAATATAGAACAGCATTTTTCCTCTCTGATTCCTAAGAACACTTCATCACTATTGATGTGCTGTTGTATCGCAAAGAGGCTTCAAGCAGCTTCTCATTCAAAATCACACTGAGCTCCTTTTCCTGACCATGAACCTCTCCCAGGAACTGTCCACACTCTCTGGAGCTCACGCAGGAGCTAATTTTCTGTATCAGGAGCTGAAGGACATCTGATCAATCACCTGACTGACCATGCCCAAACTGTTTGAAGAGACCTTCTGCTCCACTGATTTTTCAGAGTGAAGCTCACAACTACAGGACAAAATAAAGAAGTCCCAGTTGGTTTTTCTTAATGCACAGAGGAAAATACTAGGGGCAGGGGAAGGGCACAGAGGGGAGCAAGCCCTCCACTCTACTTGTAGGTCCTCACACCCATGAGAGAGACTTCAAATCATAGCAGAGTAAGAGCTTGAATAGCAGCCAAGGAGGTGTTACTGCTGTTTGTGCCTTCTTACAACTGAAACTTATATGCTACTGCAATACCATATGCATAACAGTATTTGCAGATATTGTAAAATTATATCATACTGTAAGACTTTATATATTCATTTTGATTTGACAAGTAGAACTGCTTTTAGTAAGTAGTACTGTTTAAAATTATCTGTGTGAGAGAGTTTATGGGAGAATTTGAAAGCTTTATAAGGTCTGACCCTGTATCTAAGTTTGGCATGTAATTTAAAATTTGACACTTAATTTAAAATTTGTTCTAAAAGGAAAACGTCTTTAATAATTTTAATTACTTGGATCACCTTCAAAAGTCAGAATGAGTATAAAGGCTGCCATCCTTCCAAATTCTGCAGTCCTGCTAACATTAACTTCAATTAGACTGCTCAGCTATAAGTCTTAAGAGCTTGTTTTAACACTTACTGAAATCAGTGAGTGTTTTTCACGAGTTTCACAGTGAAGGATTTGCCAGCTTAGACATTTAAGGTGAAAGTTTTTTAAAGCAGGTAGAGACATAATTCTTCCACTGGTGTCATTAGAACATCTACCGAATGATAGAAAGGATTAGAAAATTCCCTTGTGTTTTCTAAAACCTAACCTTGGTCATCAGCATCAGTATGGTCCAGGAGACAGCCACAAGCTTGTCCAGCAAGTGGATGCTTCTGTGTGGTTTAATAGCTGTTTCTCCAAGACGGTGGGGACTGTTTAAGTAGTGTTAGTCATCCACTTCCACCCCGGCTGGCCAGGCATTAAACATCCCACTGCCTGCCTCCATGGCAGTAGGGCAGGTGACAGTGAACAAGGTCTCAAATCATGTATGTGTATATTAGATATGTTATGTTTTTACATCAGCCAGACACATTTCAGGAATAATTCTGTCTTTCCAAAATGGCAGTTTCTGCTTAGTGCACACAACTGAGGGGTTATGTAAGCTCTGGCTGTCTATCAGATCTGAATTCATATAACTCAGGCCTCTCCCTAATTGTCCTGCTAATCCTTCCTGACAGATCACGTGGTAGGAACTGTTTAAAAGGCCCTCAGTAAATTCAAATAAAAAGGCAAACTACATTCTCTAACTTTTCATATGCATATTACAGCTTTTTGAGTGATTTAGTGTGCATCCTTATGAGGCTTGTTGCAGCCTTGGGGAATTTATCATCTTCTGTCATAAAAAAAATTCCCATTGTGTGATGATTAAATTACCAGTTTAGATTTAATAAAGATAAATTATAATTCCACCTTCTGGGGTTTTTTTTTCAAAAAGAAATAAAGACAAAAAGCTTAGAGTTTGCACCTAAAGATGAAAGCAGTGTTACTCACACGTTGGTTTTAAAGCTTTTTCACAATATCAAACTATATCTCCTCTTTCTCTAACTTTCATTTATTTCCTATTTCAGTGAACCTTATTCTCAAAACTTAGTTGTGAGTCACCTATTTCTTTACAGAAAGGCAATAGCCTTTTCTTAGCTCATTTTTGTTAATCTAAAAAAGGAAGAAAATCTCTAAATGCCTTCACAGAATGAATGCATAATCCTTTCTGTGTATATAAATCCTAACCTGATTGCTTGAAAAAGCAGCTACTTTTTTTGATCACTGGTGTGCTTCTACAAAATTATCCGAAACATGTGGAAAACAAACATGTTAGCTTTAGAGTTACCCAAAAAATCTACATGTAGTTAGTTCTTCAAATGTTACCAATTAACTAGTTTGAATGCCTAGATTTTTCTTCCCTCAGCCATCTGTGGATACATATAATAGAATAAAACACTGGCTTGAGTCATACATTAAAATGTATTGATGAGATTGTAAAGCTAGGATACAAATCCAGTTTTGATGTAAATGTGGCTACTCTTCCAGCCTTCATCACTTCCTATTTGAGAAAATTGTTTTTGCAAAGGATCCAAACCGAGGTTAAAATGACAACTGATACTATATTGAATTCACAAGTACATTTGATATTGTGCAATTACTAGGAGTTGTCTGATAGTAGGTGTCAAAAAATGTACATTTTCTACAATCTTTTTTTAGTGCAAAATAGAATAATTGAAATAGCGTTACTGCATGTGATCTTGGAACATACAAAGAAATTATAAAAGATCTGGATTTAGGTCTGAAGGCATTTCAGACTTGTGTTTAACAGAGAGTTTGACCTTGTGAATGTCAAACATGTCACCCTGAGTAACGCCAAACAGCATCTCTTTTCTATTGCCGTCATCAGAGGATGAAATCATGAGACCTTTCTGAGCAAGGATATGTTAAGAAGCAAAGACAGTTTTATAAGCCAGTAGACCACAGGTGCATGAAAGTGTTCATAAAGACATGATGACCCCTCCTTTCAAAACACTTCAGTGCTCCTACAGGTGTTAGAACTGGGCAGTCATGCTCTGTTATTTGGATGCCAAATCTCTAAATTTTCATTCCTGCAGAATATCCATTCTTGAGTATTTGGAGTAACAGAGTAAACACTTCAGCCATCTGCCCTCCCCTCTGACTTGCATATCTCATGTTTTTGCATGGCACATGCATATCATAAGATCAAAGCAATCTCTAAGCAACCTTCTGCTTCACTCCCTGTGAGCAGTGGCATAGGGAACTTCTCATCAGAATGGAGCCACAGGGTGTGACAACATTCATTGAGTCAACAATGTAATAGGAAAGGAATAATTTACCCTTTTAGGAAAGAATGCCTGAAATTAAAATTATGCTTATGTAACCTCGAAGGAATTAACATGCTTTATCTGAAATAATTACAACTTTATTGCTTTTCATTTTGACTTTCCATTATGCACTATGTTTTATTCTATACACTTCGTACTATTAATGCACTGTGATTGGATTTGAATCGCAAATTTTTGTGAGCTAACCAAAATAAGTTTGCCATTTAGAAAGCTTTGATATTTGTGTGAACTGTTGAAAAGCTGATTGAATATCATCATATCTAAATAGATGTGTTGTGTCCTTGTTCTTAGAAAGACTTATGAAAGCGTTTAATTCTGGCAGTTGATTTAAAGGCTGCTTGCATTCATAAGGCTATTGAGGTGCGTTCATCTGCCTTTGAAAGATCTGAACCTAAAATATCCAGTACTGGTTGTTCAATTCATGTCTGTTTTCTGTTGTTACATTTTTCATTGTTTCAATATGTAAAGTCGAAAATAATAGCATTTTCCCCTTGTGCATGTCTGTTTTTTCACTTTCCTAAAAGATTTAAGATATATATATATTTATATATATTTTTATACATATTGTTTATTAAACTTAATAAAAATTCATGAAATTACTCAGGGGAGGAATAGAAAATTAAAAAAGATGTACAGTTATGCAGTGTGTTCTTCCACATAAATGAAATTGTTATAATAGATGTCACACTATCTGGCTACAATTTTTAAAGACAGTTTCCTTTCAGTTCTTAATCCAAATCACAAAATGTATATGATTTTCAGCTGTGTTGCTGGAATTTCAGCAGAAATTTTCCAGTGCCAGCATCTCAAAGAAAGCATTTAATAGCTGAACGGGTGAAGTCCCAACTCAGCTAACTCCCTCAAAACATCAAACTTTTCTGCCTTGTTTGATCTTTGTGGTGATTCAGATGCTATAGATAATTCAGGTCAGCAGCAGGGCTTGTCTCAAAATCGTGACAAATAACACTGATTCTTGCTTCAGCCCTGTATTGCAGTTTTGATGCACAGTGTAACAAATCATCCACTATTCCTTTTGTGACTAACGTGCTCTGAAAAGTGTTTTAAAGCACCTGCTTGCTCAGAAGGCATATAAAAGCACAACTGTTATTTTTGATGTGTTCATAACAAATCTGTCTTTGAAAATATGACTCTTTAATATATGAAATTATTTTAGAAAATGAAAAGGAGATGAAACCAAGCCTTCCAAAGGCTAGCAATTCTCCTGAGACCTCCAAACAATGCAGTTTCTTGACATCTAAAATAAGCATTTACATCATGGACATTTTTTGTACAGAGCACCA